CTGCTGAGGGGAGGGGACGTCACGAGTGCGCTGCTGCTGCTGCTGCTGCTGCTGCTGGCGCTGACCACCACCGGAGCTGACCCTCTGCGCAGCGCCACCCCGACCAGCTCCACCTCCTCCGCCGCCTCCTCCTCCACCGCCGCCACCTCCGCTCCCTCCGCCACCGCCGCTGCCTCCTGCGCCTCCACTGCCGCCACCTACACCTCCACCCCCGCCACCACTCCCACCGCCACCCCCACCTCCTCCACCACCTCCACCGCCGCCTCCACCGCCCCCGCTAGCTCCTCCAGCGCCCCTGCCCCCCTTGCCCCTGCCAGGGCGGCGTCTCCCGCTAGGGGTAGACGCTGCCCCAACCGACTCCAAACCAGCGAGGTCAGCCGCAGCAGCAGAGGCAACAGAGGGCAAAAGAGGGGAGGGGGAACACCCCTCAAAGATGGGGGTGCGAGGGTCACCACGAGAGGCTCCTACAGCGACTATGCTCTTTTCTGCTGCTAGGAGGGCCTTCTCGAGGAGGTCAACGGTGAGAGTGGTGGGACAAACCGAGAGGAAGTGGTCCCTGACTACGCGAAGGGAGTCAGGGAGACGGGTGACTATGTAGTAGAGGGTGATGTACATGGGGGGGGGGTTCTTGGCGCAGAACTCAGCAGGAAGCGCAGCGCGGTAGCGAGTGTCACTAGAGCGGAGGTGCGTAATGAGGTCAGCGACTGTGGGAAAGGCAGCAAGGTCAGGGAAGAGGTACGGTAGCATGAGGCGGCTCAGTGCAGCAGTGGCAGGGGAGGAGTAGCGTGCAACTACAGCGTCGTACAAGGTCTGAGCACTCTTGTACTGGCTAAAGTGCGCACGCTCAGAGGTAGGGAGGTGGCGACGCACAGCAAGACGTGCAGCAGCATCGCGCGTGGCCCACTGTGAGCGAACGGTGGCGTCAGCATCAGCAGCGGGGGCAGGAGAGGCACCAGAAGTGAGGTCAAAGAGGGAGAGGCCGTCTGCTCTGTCGCACTGTAAGAAAAGCTGCAGGTCATCTATCCAGACGTCAAAGTCAATGGCCCGACCCTCAGCGTCAAAAGCGAGGACACTAGGGGTAGCCATGACAGCAGTAGACTAGCAGTGCAAACAGTAGGGCGAGGGCAGTGCTGTGAGAGAGGCGCTGCTCTTACCGGACAGGGCGGTTCGGGCGGCTCGGCTGCAGGGCGGCTCGGCAGCTCGGCGGCTCGGCGGCTCGGCGGCTCGGCGGCGGGGCGGCTCGGCTGCTGGGCGGCTCGGCTGCGGACAGGGCGGCTCGGCGGCTGGGCGGCTCGGCGGCTCGGCTGCTGGGCGGCTCGGCTGCTGGGCGGCTCGGTTGCTGGGCGACTCGGCTGCTGGGCGGCTCGGCGGGGCCGCTGAGAGGGCGGCGTCCGGGGCCGCTGGGAGGAGGCGGCGGGGCCGCAAAGGTAAGTGGCGGGGCCGCGGAGGTAGGTGGCGGGGCCGCACAGTAAGGTGGCGGGGCCGCGAAGGTAGGTGGCGGGGCCGCACAGGTAGGTGGCGGGGCCGCGGAGGTAGGTGGCGGGGCCGCACAGTGAGGTGGCGGGGCCGCGAAGGTAGGTGGCGGGGCCGCACAGGTAGGTGGCGGGGCCGCGGAGGTAGGTGGCGGGGCCGCACAGTGAGGTGGCGGGGCCGCGAAGGTAGGTGGCGGGGCCACACAGGTAGGTGGCGGGGCCGCACAGGTAGGTGGCGGGGCCGCGGAGGTAGGTGGCGGGGCCGCGGAGGTAGGTGGCGGGGCCGCACAGTGAGGTGGCGGGGCCGCGAAGGTAGGTGGCGGGGCCGCGGAGGTAGGTGGCGATGGGCGCGACGGGCGCGACGGGCGCGACAGGCGCGACGGGCGCGACGGGCGCGACGGGCGCGACGGGCGCGACGGGCCGAAAGGGCGGCGCGACTCGGGCCGGCGCAAAACGCGCTCCGGGCAGGAAAAAAAAAATTCGTGGTGGTGGGCCCTAGGAATCGTTCCCACTAGGGAACCTGCTCGATACCATGAGAAGAAACGAGGAATGGGAAAGACTAAGTGAAAGTTGGGTACAAGAAGTAAACCCTAGGAAACTGTACCCCATATGTGCTACCCCACTATAGCCTACAGTAGCTATGTCATATAAATCTGACAGAACCCACATTCCTTTGCACCTTGCCCCCCAACCCCAACCCCCTAACCCCCTCCCTTCCCCCCTCCCCTATCCCCTCACAGCCGTGCATCCGACAAATACGGGGCCTCCACCCACAAAGCCCCCCCCTCATCCACCCTGTCCTCCCTCTCCCTGTCTACCAAGTCAACGTCCACCCCGCCCATGGACGACGCAACTCGCAACAAGTTAACGCGAGCCTGCGCCCGTTTGGGTGTTAGCTGCACCCCCCGATTGCTCACTAGCACGGCGCGTAATCGTTCGCCTTCCGTTGCTCCCACTCCTTGGCCGCCACGCCCACAGACCGCCCGCACTGCCCGACCAAAGATGGAGAGAGCGACAAGGGGTTTGCAACACTGATCTCCAAGGCGTGCGCCTCTCCGTCCATCGGTCGACGCACTGCAACATCCACATGCTTTCCCGGCAACAACATATCATCCTCCATCGTCACCACCCCCCCGGGTGCTTTGGAAATCTTCGCCACCGCAAACTTCACCTCATCATGCACCCGAGAGGGACCGTGCTGGTACTTGCATCGCAGTGCATGGTGCGGGTCCGCCGGGTCCGCGTACACCGTGCTGCATACACAACGCCCTGCCACGTGTAGTTGCTGGATCGGAAGGCCCAGACGCACAGCTGCAGCAATGCTCCACTCAGTAGCTGTGAAGGTGAAATCCGCATGAGCTGGGATATTCGAGACCCATGCACCAGCCCCCGGGCCCTGAAGGGATGTGAAACGGGCCAGGGTGGCATCGTCACGGGCCAATCGGCGCACAGCCTGAAGTTCCTCTACAGCCAACTGCCGCAGCCGCGCCTGGAAGAGACGAACGGGGGATGCAGCAAAGCAGATAGGTAGGCTCGGCATCTCCTGGCGTACAGCCTCTGCAGTTGCTCGAGGCTCTTGGAGAACTAGGGGTCAAGAAAATCCACCCCCGCCACAGTCCTGAGATAGTCTGCAAACATCGCCTCTTCACCTACTACCCCCAACTGCGCAATGTCACGCGCAGCCTGCGCCCACCCACAAGCGTAAGACATCGGACTCAAGGAAGTCGTTGCTCGAATCCCAAAGCTGCCGAGGCGAACAGGTAGGTGCAACTGCAGGAGAGCCAGCCTAGACCGTGCAGGGTCGATCTCCCAGGTACCAGACGGGAAGAGCTGCTCGAAACAGTCCTCTAGACTACTGTCCCAGTCACTGAAAGCGTCCACCACCTCTGGCCGCGGCGGCACGGTCCGCGCGAGGTACATCAGCCGCGCTGAAATAGCGATAGCCAAGAGGTGTGATGCCATCTGCGAGTGGTCGAGCAAGGGGAGCCATGGCTAGGGCGTCTGCAGCTGCCGAAGCCGCTCCCGCAAACGAACCACCTCCCAGTCCTCCGCTCCAATGGGGACCCCCACCACTGTGAGTCCCTCCTCCACCCGCTGCATGGCCAAAGGCATCTCTTGTATCGCGTCAGAGGCCTCCCGTACCTAGAATCGGCACTTGGGGGCTTGCACCTCCAACCCCACCCCTTGTAGTTGTTCCCGTAACACGCCAAACGCCTCCAGAAGCCTTGCCGCCGAGCCCAAAATGTAGGTATCATCCGCATAGCTCAGGAAAAGCAAATCGGCAAACTCTCTAGTGAATGGCTCCATGACCAGCTGCTGCGTGAATGCGAAGAGGAAAGGCCCGAGCAGGTCCCCCTACCGGGATCCTCGTGCTGAAGCAAGAGTTTCTACAAACGGGCCTGCCCGGAGATAAAGATCGCTAGGTGTCCCGTAAAAGATGCCCAAGAATGGGATGAGACCCAAAAAGGGGGACTCCCGCAGCCCCTCAAACATCGCCCGTCGGTGGAAGGAGTTGAATGCGTTCGCAACATCTATCTGCAGCGCGCACCAATCTGTGTGAGAAGTCAGAGCCGAGCAAAAGGCGTGAGTCAAAATCTCCATTCCTGCGCTAGTGCCAATGTCCAGCTGGTGACACGGCTGAAAGTGGGAGGCCATCGCTGGTCTGAGTGTAATGCAGAGCACTCGTGCAAGGATGTGCGGAAGGACCTCTCCAATGGCCACCGGTCTGACATCGCCGTTGGGCTTAGACAGCCCAACCAGGTTAGAAGCAGCAAGCGAGGGCCGTGCCCGCTCGGGAACCTGCCCTGCAACCCATTGGTTGAATACCTCGAGTAGATGAACCAGGCTGGTCGGTTCTGTGAGGAATGTGTCCCGCAAGTGCTCCGTAAGCCACCCTAACGGCCCTGCAGCGGAAGCGCGAGCAGCTGTGTGAATAGCCCTAGCCAGTATGTCGACCGTGAGCACTGGTCGCTGAGGAGCGACGATGTCTAAGGAACGGACCCACTCCGGTATTTCGCCCACGCTGGTGGGATGCTTCCCCCACAATGACTGCACCATAGCCTCAGACGGCCAAGCCAACTCCCCTGCCGTGAGGCATGCCAACCCATGACTCCACTTCCCCACTTTGCACCTAGTCCGACAACGAGCAAGGCGGATGGCGTCAGGGTCTTGGTCGAAGGAATTATATGTTAAGGGGCGAACTACCAGGCATGCTGCAAGCATGGCAGAGTCGAATAGCTCACGCCATCTCCCCTCCCTGAACGTCTTCAAACGCTCCATAATCAATGCCCTCTTACCCATCCCCAGTTTGGTCGGCAGGCCTAGGAGGAGGCGTGGGAAGGCCAAGAGAAAGAGTGTGGCAGCTTCGTCCTTGGGTCGGCTCTTCAGTCGTTTCAAAACACAGCACAGTGCATCGAGGACCCCCAGCCGGGCACGCTGAGGGATCCGATGCACCGTCTTCCCCCCTACCGCCTCCACACAGAATAATGCTTCCCAATCCCATGACGGAACCGCCGCCCCTACCCCGTCCTAGATTTCCCTCACTGTCGGTCTCTCCTGTGTGCCATCTTCTGCGAGGGAAGGAATTAAGCCAAGCGCATATGCATGCCTCTCTGCCTCAGCTGCTCGACACGCTGTCATTTGGCTCGTAGCCGCCCCTCGAGTAGCAAATGTGTGAAAGCACACATCGCATGGGTAGCGGGGAAGCGGAGGAGGCAGCTCATCCGATGCCACTGCCACCTCTACTGCCGCCATGGGGGTGTCGAACGTCACCAACTGCCGCGGGGATTCGGTACCCTGTTCACACCCCCCTCCTTGCCACTGCACGACCTGGTCTGCTGCGGCCACCCCTGGCTGCCCTCCCAGCTGCTGCATATCATAGTCCCCTACTATCACCCCCGGCAACCCTCCTCGCTGCTGCGCACCCTGGGGTGCTACCATCCCCCCCGGTTGGCCCACTGTATGTTGCACGTCCCGGAGTGTTGTTGTCGCCCCTGGCCGCCCCCTCGTCTGCCGCCTGCCTCTGGGTGTTGCTACCTCCCCCGGCTGCCCCCTTTGCACGCCGCAGGGTGGAGCAGTGACCCCCAGCTGCCCCCCTGGCTGCTGCGCAGCCTGAGGTGATGTGACCTCTCCCGGCCACCCCAGCGTCTGCTGCACGCCATGGGATGCAGTGCCCGCCCCCAGCTGTCCCCCCGACTGATGAACGTCCTAGGGTGTTGCTGTCACCCCCAACTGAACTCCTAGCCGTTGTGAGGCCTGTGGTGCTGATATCATCCCCACCTTCCCCCCTGGATGATGCACGCACTGGGGTGATCCTTCCCTTGCCTGCCGCACGTCCTGGGGTATTGCTATCACCCCCGGCTGCCCCCCTGCCTGCTGCACGCCCTCGGGTCTTGCTAGTACCCCCGGTCGTCCCCCTGTCTGCTGCACGCCCTGGGATGCTGCTATCACCCCCGGCCCTCCCCCTGGCCGCTGCATGCCCTGGGGTGTTGCTATCACCCCCGGCTGTCCCGCTGTCTGCTACACGCTCTGGGGTGCTGCTATCACCCACGGCTGCCCCCCTGATTGCTGCGCGCCCTGTGGCACGCCTACCCCTCCCGACTGTTCCCCAGGCTGCTGCCTGCTTTGGAGTGCCGCTCTCACCCCCTGCTGTCCCCCTGGATACAAGGCTCCCTCAGGTAGTGCTGCCCCCCCCCAAGCTGCCCCTCCGTCTGCCGCTCGCTCTGGGGTCCTGTGATCAACCCCCGCTGCCCCCCAGCCTGCTGCACAGCCTGGGGTGCTGCAGTCACCCCCGGTTGTCCCTCCGCCTTCTGCACGCCCAGCTGATTGCCAGGCCTCTGCCTACCCTGGCCTCCACGTCGCCTCCTGCCCTTGCCTCGCGGCGGTTGTTCGTGGAAGGGCCCCTGCGCCTGTGCATCCGGATGACCATGCCGCTGGCCTTTCTGACCAGTTTCTGTTGGAATTGTGGGGGAGAGATTGGCCCCCACGCGAAGACCTCCGTTGACTCGGACCAAGGGAGGGTTCTTTCTCGGAATGAGGGGTGACGGCGGATTGCCCGCGTCGACACTCAACCAAGTTCGCCCCCGGTTGGGTCCGAATATTTGTGGGGGCGACACTTGGCAGCCCCACAAGCATGCACGAAAATTGCAAGAGTGCAAGCGAATGTTACGAACATTTCGCTACACTCGCTATTGTCCCTTGTAACTCACGATTGTCGGCGTGAAGAAACGAACCCGGCAAAGTACGAAATTGTGAACGCGGACGTCGCGGAAATTGGACGCGATCCTGAGTCCGAATTTCCGGCGAGTCGCGCGCGGTTCGATGTTGCAATTGTGCTTGCATGTTTCTTCAAACTCGTCACTTGTACCCATCCTTGCATTATAAGAAGTATCTCTTTCGATTCTCAGGCGATTACAGAGATTCAAAGTGCCACGGATTCCTTGCTCCAAGCCCGTCGGAACGATCCTAGTATTGGCTCCTAACTCGCCAAGTAAAATCTGTGGCGTCACTAGGAGTGAGACGGTCTCCTTCGTGGTATGAGAGCTAGAGTAAGAGTGTTCGCTCAATCGTTGCTACGCGATGGGTACCACCGAGACTTCGTCAACGATGAATGCGCCAACAACCCCTTCTTTTCCGACGGACTTTTCGACAACACCGCATGTTGTCGATATGAGCGCGGTGCCAATTTTTAACGGGGTGCATTTCTCCTCGTGGCGCTTCAAGCTCAAGGTCTACATGATGGAGCACGTCTTGTGGGGTTTTTTCGATGGGTCGGCATCGAAGCCCTCTTCGGGCGCTTCAACCGGGGAAAAGGAAGCGTGGGTGCGAAAGGACAAAAAGGCATTTGCCTTTCTTGTCTCCAAGCTAAGTCTCCAACTCGTCCCCATCGTGAGTCCTTGCATCGACCGTGAAGGTGCGACTCGTGAAGCGTGGAAGCGACTCGAAGGAGAGCACGTCTCCAAGTCACTTCATAGCAAGCTTCAAGCGCGCCTCGACTTTTTCACGGTGCGGATGAAGGACGACGAGTCAATGCGCGCGTACGTCAACCGCGTGGAGGAGCTTGGCGAGCGCTTGGTGGAACTCGACGCGAGCGTGGAAGACAACGATTGGATCATGACGCTCCTCGCGGGCCTCGGTGAAGCATGGTCAACGGTGATCACGATGTTGGATGGGACGCAAGATACGTGGAAAAAGAAGCAAGTGGTGGCACGCCTCATCAATGAAGAGGCGAGGCACACGAAATTGCATGGCGATGCAATCGGTGCGGCACACTTCTCCTGTGATGCGAAGGCGAAAGGGACGGGTCACTTCAAGCGGCGCAACGACGGCAACAACCGCGGGAGTTCGAACGGGAGCGCGGCGACCTCAAGCTCATCACGAGGAGGATCGGCCAACGCCAATCGAGCTCGGGTGCGAGAGGGTGCTTGTCGTTTTTGCAAGAAGACGGGACATTGGTGGCGCGATTGTCCCGTTAAATCGGCAAATTGGAGGCCGTCTTCAAGTGACGACAACCGGCGCGCGCATGTGGCGACATGCGACAACAACGACCGGGAGTTCATCTTCGTCGCAAGTGGAACGACCGTCGGTGGTGTTGACGCGTGGGTACTCGATACGGGTGCTACTCAACACATGACGGCGTGCGCGACGCTTCTCAACAACGTGACAACGGTAGCTTCCGTTAAGCGCGTGATGTTCGGCAACCGTGACACGTTGGACGTCACAGGACAAGGCGACTTGCGGCTCATGGTGGACGGCGGTCCACTCACCATCAAGAACGTCTTGGTGGTTCCCGGGCTCGGCGCCAACCTCCTCTCCGTTTCCCAATTCACACGCAAGGGGATGTGTGTGAATATTGAAGAGACCATGATGGCGTTGAGCACGGCGGACGGAGTACACATCGGCACGGCACGCCAAGCGGGTGGACTCTTTGTGCTCGACGCTCTCCCTAGCGTGGCATCGGCTCAAGCGGCTACCTCGACAACCTCTCTCTCAACGTGGCATAATCGGCTTGGCCACCTCCACCTCGCCGCTATTCAAGCTATGGCAACGAAGAGGATTGTCGACGGCTTGGAGTTTGTGCGCTCGAGTGGAGACGACGATAAGTGTGTCGGTTGCCTTGAAGGGAAAATGGCACGGAAGCCTTTTTCACCGAGTACGAAGCCGAATGCCTCCGAACCTCTCAAGCTTGTTCACACGGACTTGTGCGGACCCATCACTCCCGTGTCGAAGGGCGGCGCGCGCTACGTCCTCATGCTTATCGACGACGCGACGCGTATGTGTTGGATTCGACTTCTCAAGCACAAGGACGCCACGTCAACCGCCATCAAGCAATGGGTGGCGGATGTGGAGAAGGAAAGCGGCTTCAAGGTCAAGCGCTTTCGCTCGGATGGAGGTGGCGAATATACCGCTCGGGAGCTCGGCGATTGGTTGAAAGGACGTGGGACCGCACATGAGTTCTCGACGCCGTATACGCCTCAACAAAATGGAGCCGCCGAACGCTTGAACCGTACGCTCATGGAGTCGGCACGGGGTCTTCTCTCCCATGCTCACGCGGAGAAGCATTGGTGGGGTGAGGCGGTTACGTTGGCAACTTGGATTCGCAACCGGTGCGTGACCAAGGCGTTGCCCAACAAGACGCCTCTTGAGGCTTGGAGCGGTACGAAGCCGGACATCACCGACCTTCGCACGTTTGGGTGTACGTGCTACTATCATGTACCCGACGTCACACGGACCAAGCTTGAGGCTAAGGCGCGGGTGGCGATGTACTTGGGACCAAGCGCGGATCACAAGGCATGGCGTGTGTGGGATTTGGAGCACGGGAAGCTCGTGGTGTCGCGCGACGTGGTGTTCTATGAAGACACCTTCCTGTCCAAGTCCATGACCGTGCCCTCGGTCATCATCATCCCTCCTCCCTTGGATGTCGCGGATGAGGCAAATGAAGCTCCTACGGGTTCTCCTCCTAGTACGAATGAGGGGGAAAATGGATCGGGTGCGGTTGGAGTGAGTGGGGATGAAGGAAATGCCAAAGAAAGTGAGCCTTCGTCTCCTCCTACTATCACTCCCACCCTCGCATCCACTCGCACTCGGAGGAACCCTCATCCCAACTCCAAGTATGATGGCTATTCTCTTGTGGCGGGGGATGATGAGGGAGGGGGAGATGCTATGTGTCTTGAGGCATACACCAACACCCCGTCCACCTACCAAGGCGACATGAGCTCGGCGGAAGCGACGGAATGGGAACATGCGCTTCAAGAGGAGTACGATTCGCTCATGGCGAACGACGTCTACGAGCTTGTCCCCATGCCTCCCGGCGCCTATCTCGTTGGCTCTCGTTGGGTCTTCAAGAAGAAGCTCGGCCCCAATGGAGAAGTGGAGCGGTACAAGGCGCGGTTGGTGGCTCAAGGGTACACTCAAAAGGAGGGTCTTCACTACAACGATACGTTCGCTCTCGTCACCAAGTCCGCTACGTTGCGCACCCTCTTGGCATTGGCGGGAGCACTCGACTTGGAGGTGGAACAACTCGATGTGAAGACGGCATTTCTCTATGGTCGTCTCAAGGAGGAGGTGTACATGAAGCAACCTCCCGAGTTCGACGACGACTCCGACCGCGTGTACAAGCTCAAGCGTACAATCTACGGCCTCAAGCAAAGCCCTCGTGCGCGGTACATGAGGATCGACGAACACTTGCTTTCATTGGGATTCGTGCGGAGCGAGTGTGACCACGCGCTCTACGTGCTCAACAAGGAGCGAGTGTGACCACGCGCTCTACGTGCTCTACGCGCTCTCGTTCTTCTCCTCTACGTCGATGACCTTCTCCTCGTGTCGGATTCCAAGACCCTTGTAGTGGACGTGAAGACGAAGCTTGCCGCCGAATTCTCCATGCGTGACATCGGGGCCGTCTCACACTACCTAGGGATGCACATCGATCGTGATCGAGGGAACAAGACTCTCGCCCTCCACCAACACAAGTACTTGGAGAGTGTTGTGGATCGTTTCGGCATGATCGAAAGCAAACCTACACCGACACCCATGGAAGCGGGGTTTCATCCCTTGACCGTGAGCGATGAGAACCTCATGGATCCCGAGAGCGCCAAGGCCTTTCACTCGGTCGTTGGGTCGTGCATGTATGCCGCGGTGAGCACTCGGCCCGACCTCTCCTTTCCCGTTGGAGTGCTTGGACGTGTCGTCTCCAACCCCATGGTCGAGCATGTGCGAGCATCACGTTGCCTTCTTCGCTACATCAAGGGCACCACTCGAATGGGGTTGCACTACGAGAAGGGACCCGTGGTGCTACAAGGCTACACCGATGCGGATTGGGCGGGAGATCCTTCAACCCGCCAAAGCACTTCAGGCTATATCTTCACCCTCGTGGTGTTGTAGAGGCTTCTCCTCTACTTTGCAGGAACTGGGATTTGTACTAATCAGTAGAGCTCTGTCTTAGCTTTCCAACGGGCCGTAGATCACCTCGATCGCCTACG